ATATTCTGAAACTCTTGGTTGAAATGTAAGATAATTAAAGAATATTTCGTAAAGCTACATATGCAAAACAGTGGAAATGTAAGATGCTGCTTTCAACGTGAATCAAACACAAAGATGCCAAGTTTTATCGTTCTATTGCAGCAAGAAAAGTTTGCTTGCATGATATTGCACTATTAATGCCTTACACGAAGAGAACTAAAGAGGATAATAATGGATATGCCATATTATATCTAAAAGTTGAAGCACTCAAAACTGGTCCAACTTCCACCATACATACATCCAAACCCTAAGAAAACAAATCGAATGTTCCAATTTCTAGGTTTCAATTTTTATAGCAAGCCTAATTAAGAATATAAACAAAAATTAAAACTTTGAATGAAGAAAATACGAATAAAAGTATCTAAAGCTAAAGGTTGGGTAGTACATTACATTTTTTAAATTTCTTATCAAGAATTAGTTCAAACATGTTCAATAATTCTTTTCTCGTTATACATAATAGTGATTAAGGCACACTCAGATGTGTATATAACTAATTAGAATAAAAATATTTGTAATAATAATTCTCTTATAAAAGTGAAGTATTATAGGGGAAACAAGTGCATGGGCTTAATTTCGGTGATGTTAATAAAGAAAAATTGAAGAAATGTGTGTCAAATATAGTAGATAAACATGGAGAAATTGAACGTAAAAATACAGGAAGATTCGAAGTTATAGTAAAATTGTTGTTTTATTAATTTGTTAGAGAATAAATCCATTTTATCCTTTATATATACACACTCCATTTCTGCATCAGTTAATTTCCTGATTAGTTGTAGCCATTTATTTTTCGGTAGGGTGTTCTTGCATGTTAATTTGATGCGGCCCTCATCGCCGGGACTTTTGGGTAGAGAAATAAGATGATGGTGTGTTCTGCGGGCTTACTTTGCAACGCTTTCGGAAGGCCTTGAACTCTCGGGCTGCTCTGCAAGCCCAAAAGTTTTAAAATTAGCATCCGAAAACCTCTGGTTGACCGACTGCAAAAGCAATATCCCCATTTTGGACTTATTAGCATCAATAGGTTCATCTAGCCCAAAAGCCTGCTAATTGGGGAATAATGAGCTATGGGTAGCGTCAACGATCATCTTCAAATTATGTCCCAAAAATAAGGATATGTTATTTGCATTCTCATCATTTATTTTACCATATAATCTAATAAATGAAAATTATATAATTAAAATGATAGTGAAAATTTTTTTTAAAAAAAGAGTATAAATAACATTTTTCCATAAACGAATGCGTCATTCTCGTGAATTATATAGTCAGATTTATTGTAGAATAAGGTCTGACGCATACAAAATTGACATAAATTGGTGGTCCTTAATTGAATTCTTACATCAATCGGTGGTCCTTGATGCAATTCTTACCGAAATTGACATGAATTGGTGGTCCTTCATGGGATTCTTACTTAAGTTTTACAAAATTTTAAATTAATTTAGTTTTGTCCCTGATTAATGATTGCAGATATGTAATCGGTTATAAAACCAAAATGTGGATTTGCGTGTGATGTACTACTACTCGTGTCCCGTGGTCCCGAAAGACAAATTAGACAACTTTTTTTTTTTTTTTTAATCAACTCTGTGCAAGAAACTATTACCCCAATTTGTTAGGTAGGAATCAAAAGATCTTCTCACTCAGAATTCATTTCGTGCCAAAGAGAGAAGAGATGATTTGAAAATTATTCTATTTATAACATTTTCACCAAAATTATGAGAGGATTATATATAGATTTTTAAATCAGAGAGGATTAAGTACCAAACCACCACCATAGGGAGGGAGGGAGGTAAAAAGTTAATTTACCATTTTTTTCTTTTGGGTGTGAGATAGTGAAAGTGATCGGGATGTGTTAATTGAAAATACAGAAGAAAGTAAACCTGATTGTTCAAGTCAGACTGAAAGGCTTGATGTTGCACCAATGCATTGAATTTGGAATGCAATAAGGTATGTTGTGGACCGTGCATGTAAGATGGTGTCATAGATGTCTTTTTTTAAGAGGTGTCATTGATGTCGGAGCTAGGCTTAAATTGCATAAGATTTGGCACGCATTATTGGTAAACAACAAATACAACGGAAATTTGATGAATCTATTTGATTACATTAATAAGTGCTAAATCCTGCTGCTTGAGTGAGGTTGTCTGATCTTCTAGCGGGGTCGTAATCATAATAATCGACTACCTGGTTCGCACTCCTCTCTCTCTCTATGTGTGATTGTGTGTGTGTGTGTCTATATATATATATATACACATATATATGTAAGTTCACCAAAACACGTTCAAATTAACTACAAATCTAAGAGTGAATTTTGGAGACCGAAAAAATTAAGGATGGAGCTGCTGCTTATGTCAAACTGGACCGATGTTCAATCAACGCCTGAAACTTATGTATTTCCTCCAGATAAAAGACCAGGGAAGCTTATTTTTCCTGATTGCAAGGACATTCCCACCATTGACCTTGAGAAATCTGAAGGGCTTGAACGGGCTGAAGTCATTGAGAAAATTATGAAAGCAAGCCAAGAATTTGGATTCTTTCAGGTCCAGATCAGCACTGGTTATGTTTGAACTAAAACGTTAAACATAATCGTTTGTGATGCTTTGTCTCAAAACATCCTTTGGAAACTGATAATTAAACTTTAAGTGCTATTATTTTGTTCATGATGACACAAGATTTTGATGGTCTGGCCGCGCTGTTCTAAATGATACAGGTCATTAACCATGGAGTTTCTCAAGGCTTAATGGAAGACACAATGAGTGTTTTCCAAGAGTTCTTTGGGATGCCAGCAGAGTACAAGGCAAGCTTTTACTCCTCCGGCACCAACCAAAGCTGCAGAATCTACTCCAGCACTTTGAACTATCACAAAGAAGATTTTCACTACTGGAGGGATAACTTCACCCAAAGCTGCCATCCCCTGGAGGATCACGTTCAATCTTGGCCTGAAAAGCCAACCAGATATCGGTAATTCCCCTTTCACCTTATAAGTTATAACCTCTTTTTTTTCATTTAAGTATGAAATTCTACTCAAAATGGCAAATTAATATGAAAAGAAGTTAGCTAGGAATTCTATTCCACGGACTAGCGCCAAGATCTACACTGACTTTTTCCAGGGAAGTAACAAGTACATATTGCGTTGAAGTGCGGAAGTTTCTGTTGAGGATTTTGGATCTGATCTGCGAAGGGCTGGGACTGAAGTTAGGCTATTTTGAAGATGAGCTGACTAAAATTCAGCTGTTGTCTGTCAATCATCACATACCATGCCCTGATCCGAGCCTGACGCTGGGTATGCCAGAACATTGTGATCCTAATCTGATAAGTATGCTTCACCAGTGTGCAGTACCTGGACTTCAGCTCTTCAAGGATGGACAGTGGCTTGGTGTTGAACCTGTGCCCGATGCATTTATCGTCATTGCAGGTCTCCAATTAAAGGTACGTGTCTATAGACCGTGCTGAAGATGCCCAATAATTCATCTAACTTTTTTAACTCTTGTCCGATACTCCATCATTATCATATGCTGACTGCTATGTGTACGTGTGTGTGTGTGTGTTACATACTTACATCCATCGCTTTTGGAAATGGTACAGGTAATCAGTAATGATTTGTTCACCAGTCCTATACATCGAGTGGTGACGCACACAAAAGATAAAAGAACAACCATTGGCACCTTCTTGATTCCATCTGGTGATTTCCAGATAGAACCTGCTATGGCCCTGGTTGACACGGGAAACCCTCCTGTTTACGGAGCTTTCACGTACAAAGAGTTCTTTAGCACCTTCACTGGGAAAGATTGCGATGCTCAAAGTGCTCTGGGATGCTTCAAGAAACAACTGGAATGATCTTTGGACTTGTGTAAAAAGATTGGGAGATTTGCAGTTCTGTGTCAATCAAGAGTATTATTCCCCTTAGAATGCGCTAGAGTGGAGCAAGGGAGACGTCCTCGACGGATCTACAGACAAAAGGAATCAAGACGCTGTCTGTGGACAATTTCTATTTCGTAATTCGAGTTGCAGCAAGATTTGAGGTGCATCAGGTCGTGCGGTGCCACCTCATCGCTAGACCAAATGCTTTTATATAATAGATTGGATGCCAGTGTTTTATTTACATTAACATTCCCTTTTCCCCCAAGTCTTCAATTTTTCGTTTTGCTTCTCCCTTAAAACACTTCTGAACTAAGCATGTTCTTGCATCCTTAGTACTCTCATACTTTATCCTAAAAGAAAGTTAGGTAATAATTAAATTGCCAAAATGATATCTTACCATAATTAATCATTCCCTACTGCTCTGGAATTTTAGCAACATTTTCCCATTAGGCTTTTCGTAATGACTTCGAATAGATTTCTGGGGAATATCAAAAGAAAATGATATACTCATGCACCGTGGAATCCCTCCTAAACCTTAAAGTCGATCATAATCGTACACGCTATTATTATCGAAAGTGTGTAGGATTATGGTATTAACACAGCGTACTTCCTTCAAAAAAAAAAAAAAAAAAAACACCGCGTTTAATTATGATTTTTTTTTTACTATTTAAGAGGGATTGTATGATGCCTAAAAGTCATAATCCTACACGCTATTATTATTAAAAGTTTGTAGGATTATGGTATTAAAACCGCGTATAATTATGATTTTTACTATTTAGGAGGCATTGTATGTTGCATGAGTACATTGTTTTCTTTTGAAATTTCACAGAAATTTAGTCAAAGTCATATTATAAAAAGATGTTAGCATTAAAAACAAAAAACCATTGGTGATGTTAGTAGTTGTGTCCTTAATTTTTGTTAATTAATTAATTACTGTAATATGCTTGATTTTATTCCTTTTCTCCACATATTTTCATGTCTGTAGAATAGCCTATCTGTGTATTTATTTGTGTATTGATTTGATCTCCTCACTTTATAATTTTTTTTCACTTCTAAACCTTTATACATGTATATATATATACACGCATGTGTGGAATAATCAGGATACAGCATTGGGCAGAAGTGAATTGACACTTACGCAATCTAACGAGGTCTGTCGGAGGGAATGCTCCAACAAAATAATCCTCGGTTTCCACTTGTTTCATCCAAATAAATCTGTCAAACCGGCTTTGAATCAAAACATTTCTTCTTTTTTTTTTCCGGATGTTTTCTATAAAGAAAAGTATGCGTGTTACTTGGTTCGTCCTCTTGGCAAGTGAAAGAGCAGCAATTCCCATTAAGAATCAGGCGGCGCAGGCGGTTTTGTTGCTTCAGTGGACGCAACTTTGGACGTGTGAGCGAAGTCTTTGTACAAAGTGGGAGCATAGCGAGGAGGATTTAACTCATCAACCAAAACTTTTGCAGGTTCTACAATGGAGTTGTGGGAAGGGTTGATGAAGGTGGCAATGCTTATTCTGGCTTCATATGAATTTGTCACCGCTCGATGTTCTGCGCTCTTTAGCTTCCCATTACTGATAATCTACAACAACAATTACATATGTAAGATTAGGATTCATTACAGGAAAACTATAAGAATTAAATGTCTTTGGCTTTGGCATTACATGGTTATCATAGTTGCCTTACTTGTTAAGATATACTTGGTGAAATCATTTAAAGTTTATAGTATCTTCAAAGTTGCCAATTACAAAAATATACGAAAAGGGATGTCAAATGCTAAGAAAATGATAGGGCATGTTGAAGCAAATTCAACAATTTAAAGACGCAGCTATATATTGCTATTGATTCGATCAAGCAACCAAGCTCCCCAAGATTTTGAAATTGTTCCATTTTTCATCATACGTAAAAGCAGAAAATTTCAGTTTTAACTTCAACATAGAAGATTTTTGCGTATTGTACCTTGACTACTAATGAAATTAAGTTGAAAATGACATCTCACATATAGCTGTTTCTTTTCTTTTTTTTAAAAATTTCCTTCCTTTTCTCTGTTGTTTGACAAATGTTTAATTTAACTCCATCTAGTTTAGAAACCTAGACTACAACTCTCTATGATTTCGACTAAATTGAAAATTGCACAGAAAGCATTAAATCTAACGGTTGTGTGTGAAATGCCAATATTACCCCTACTATGCAATTTTCAATTTAGTAGAAACCAGAGGGAGTCATAGTATAATTTTTCAAATCAGATGGAGTTAAATTGAATATTCGATAAATCATAGGGAGTTCATTTATATAGAGGCTATATTGACATTTCACGTATAATTGTTAGATTGGATGTTTTCCGTTCAATTTTCAATTTAATTGAAACCACATGAAATAGTATAGATTTTCAAACCATAGGGAGTTAAATTGAACATTTAGCAAATCACTAAAAGTTTTTTAGTATTTTACCCAAAAAAAAATTGATAGGGCATGTTAAATCAAATTCAACAATTTAAAGACGCAGCCATATATTGCTATTGATTTGATCAAGCAACCAAGCTCCCCAAGATTTTGAAAGTGTTCCATTTTTCAACATACGTAAAAGCAGAAAATTTCAGTGTTTACTTCAACATGGTAGTTTGCGTACTGTACTTTGACTACTATAAGTTGAAAATGATCTCGCACATATAACTGTTTCTTTTTTTTAGAAAAAAAAATTTTTTCCTTCCTTTCCTCTGATGTAAGCGTATCACTTACAAAACAAAGAAAATAACAAGAACAAGGGAGTAGTTGGTGGCTTGTGGAAAATCAGTTAATAGAAACAACGACATTCAAAAATTTTGAGAGAGGCATACCTCCAGCTGGTTACCAATGTTGACAACAAGGGCATTAGGAAGAGGGGCGACCCCTATCCACTTTCCATTATGCAAAACTTGAAGTCCACATGCATTTCCTTCTTGAAGGAGTATGGTTATCAGGCTGGGATCGCAGTGCTTTAATAGTCCCAAGGTCAAACTCGGGTCCGGGCACGGTGGATAATAGTTGCCTACCACCAATTGAACTTGGCTCAACCGTTCCAAGTACCCAGCTTCCAGCCCCAATCCATCACATATCAGCTCAAGAATTCTTCCACTCAATCTCCTCATTTCCTCTACGTATGTTGCAACCACCTCTCTGGAAATTAAAGTTCAATGCATCACCAAAACATAGAGTAATCAGAGATGCACTCCACGAACCTTTGATTTGATAGGATTACGTTCTATATACGTATATATACTCAGGGGATCCTTTGCTTCAAATGTATGAAAAGAAGAGTAGGGATCAGATATACCTATACCGGGTTGGTTTTGGAGGCCAACCTTGCATGCATTCCTCCAAGGGGTGACAAGCAAGTTTAACATTATCCCTCCACAAATGAATACCATCTTTTGCAAATACGGAGGAGCTGTTCATGTAGATCCAGCCCCGGCTTAAATCTCCATCAGATGCACTAGTACCCTTCTTGTCCTCCGCATACATGTTGAAAAATTCCTTAAACACGGTACTCGTTTCCCTCACGACATCTTCAGATACTCCATGGTTGATCACCTGCACCGATCACCATACATGTGCAAAACATGTGTATGAACAAACTGTGAGAGTTGTATACTTGGATATCTAATCAGTAATCACCCCAGAAGATGGAAAGACGGAGGAAATGAAACGGACTAATTAATCATAAACTCCAACATGGAAAAATAATGGAAAATGTATACCTGGAAAAATCCATATTCTTGACTGGCTTCTACAATCTGTCGGACCATGCTCCATTTTTCTGGACTCGTAGTTGACTTGTGGAGGTCAATTACAGGGACTGCGTCACATAAAGGAATGGGAAGCCGTCCTGGTCGATCCTCCAGCGGAAAGCTGTAATCACCAGGCACGGATTGCACGTCAAACCATCTTAAAACTCGTGGCTGCTCCATATCGATGACTATGGCCGTGGAAACAAACCAATCGCGCTACCTGCAGTTTAGTTGAGCATGGCGCAGATCTAACGAACGATAATACTGGCACACATATAATTTAGGATTATTCTAGGGTGACTACAGATTAGTACATGAAGAATTTCTTATGCAAAACTTGGCCAACCCCATATGTTTGTTTAGTCAAAGTAACCGAATAAATGATGACACAAATTACTAATCTATTGCCTTGCCTCCCCCACAATAAACTCCTCACCAGTTTATCCTCTTTCTTGATTGTATGCCTAATGGCTTCAATTTTTAAATCTAATAAGCGTGATAAGCTGCCGGCCCGGCCGGTTACATCCTTTATTTTTTCCCCTCTTACCTAAAAAATGAGCAAGACCGGTAGAAAGTTGACCAATTCGCTTTCAGGTTGAAGAGGCCGTGCGTGAAAGACAAAGCTTGAGATCATTGGCTCAGACGGCCGCAAATGTGGTCGCTTTCGCTTTGTATTTGTGGTAAACCAACACGAAAGCCCGCTCCTCTCCTCTCCTCTCCTCTCGTGGTTTTGCAGATTTATTTATTCGGGCACTCACCAAATGCAAAACTAGGGTGCGTTCTACTTTTGGCTTCTTGTGCAAATGAAAACTTAGTTCCAGAATCAACTCTGTGATCATGTGATGCTAACTGGAGAATCATTCTCCCTTGAAGTGGACAAAGTTAATTAGAAAGAGATCAGAACATAACATTTGTTGCACCACAATATATACTCTCATCTTTCGGACGCTAGAAATTGCACACCGACGTGGTTGAAGATGTTAATATACTAGTATCAAACTAGCTGGGGATGAGCATGGATTGAGTCCTAGTCCTGGTTTAATGTATAAATAATCTTTGACCTCAAGCACCTTCTGAAATGGGGATACTGTCAATTCTCTACGGAAATCTCATGGGCTTTTTGGTTTAGTAATTCACACACCAACATATGCTTTGATTGTCGATGCAATTCCATGCATTTTCCGTATTTCACCATCTTTTAATAGGAGAGGCCGGCTACGGTTTCACATGAAAAAGTTGTAGTATTAATGATGTAAATGACGTTGATGTGCTCGAAATGATTCAATTTTGGACAATCTTCAAACCTCCCTTTTAGTACTTTAATCATACTAATTAATGACGGTGGTTTTAAAGTCACTGAAAACCTTAAATTAGTGAAAGAAGAATCATTGATTTGATTAAATAATAATTAATTACATCCAGCTCTTGTCAAAGGTGCAGAAGGGGGCAAAAGAGATGTTGTCTTTTTTTGACTTTTTGGCCAAGCCTAGAAAAGAGATGCTATACGGAGTGCGACGGTAAATATGAAATCAAACAATTAAACGCATCTTGAAAGCAGTCCCAAAAGTCATTAAAGAACTGGAAAATATCTTTTGATTATCTAATACAACACCTCCCCAATCTAATTCCTTGATCTCTACCAGCTGCACATTTGAAGATTACAGAAATTGCGTTTTGATTTAAGTATTCTAGCACCCTCCGTTGCTTAAAGCTTAATTGGGACCTGAAGGGTTTCAACGTAGTTTCGCTATCACCAGCCTTATCTGCGTATGAAACTGAGAAACTCGATAGAGTAGGGAACTATTATTGTTGACTAGAGCCCCATCACGTCCTGTAATGCTGTTGAAATCAGGACATATAAACGTAAAGGTTATATAAGTTCCTGTTGGTGTATTTTAATAAAATAAATAGAGTTTACCAAATTTTTGATGAGTTATATAACTTGCATGAAATAAAATCTTTTAGAAAAGGAGTTACATGTCTTTTATGTTTTAGTATTAATTGTGTAACCTTTATATATAACTGTTTGTAACGGCTATAATTGTACTAATATGACTGTTATACAATTAATCTAATATTATATTTGCAACCAAAATTCACTAACAATGTAGAGATAAATTCTAACTTTGTAACTCCTACCTTTTTCCACTAATAAATAGATGTTCAAAAAGTATATATGTTTCAGATCACTTATCTTTCTAAATATGTTTTTCATGGAATAGTTATAGTATAATCTCCATTAATACTAAATTCTAGCTAGTGTTAAAAGAAGATAGTTATTATAATTTGGTCAGAGTAAAGTGTTGATAGAAACTTCTATTTCTCTTGGTTGGTTGGGCCAAGTCAAAAGAAGATAGTATAATCTCCATTAATACTAAATTCTAGTGTTAAAAGAAGATAGTTATTATTTGGTCAGAGTAAAGTGTTGATAGAAACTTCTATTTCTCTTGGTTGGGCCAAGTCAAAGAAAAGCAATAATCTTGAATTAGGCTACTGTATTTTGAAGATAATGTGTTGGGACCCTCTATATTAGAGTTAAATAATTTTTGTAGGGGCACGAATCGCTTTAAAAAGAGCGTCGAATGCTCCTCAACTCTATCATATTTTTTAGTTGCGGTAAATTCATGATTGCCAACCTTAAAGATTTGAAGATGTTGTCTCGTGTGCGAATATGTTTCAAGTGATAATATATTACATTATTATTATTTCATGTAACATTGAGGTAAGATAATGTTATAAGTTGAATTCAACGTGACAAATTATTTCAATTGCTTGATAATATTGGCTCTAAAACCAACAATTTTAAGACGAAATATTGGCTCTATCAAAGGTTATGTACTTGTCGATATCTAATTAGCTGTCAACCACCAAGCATTTACATGGTAGCTGCCAACTACCAAGCACGTACACGGTTGTTGATAAAGATTGTATTAAACGAGTGATTGACTGATCTCATTAATAATGCGTATGTACTGCAGACAATGCATCTCGTTAATTGCTTGGAAATTGCATGATGAAAACAAAAAAAACTCAAATAGGGAAAGTATTCCTCAAGTATTTTAATGCCACGGTCTTATAGTATGCTTAAATTAACTCAATAGATTTGTATTTGAAATGTTTCTTTGTTTCAGTTTCTTACGTGACTAGGAGAGTGTATTTACGAAGCAAAATTCAAGTCTTATGACGCCAAAAACATTTTTTTTTAAAAAAAAAAAAATAGTGGAGGCATTTACTTGAATTCAAAGGCAATAATGATGTATACTTCATGAAATGCATGTATAACATGTGGTTAGTTTTTTTTTTTTTTTTTTTTTTGGTCAATAAAACATGTGGTTAGTTAGTTACTTTAAAATGTGCGCTGTCTTGACATAATTCAAGAAAATTGCATTTAATAGAATTCAAGTAACAGTATTGAATGTTAAGCTTTCGGACATAACACATACTCCCTCCGTCCCACTTTGATAGTCCTGTTTTCCTTTTTCGTCTGTCTCAAATTGTAGCCCACTTTCCAATTGAAGAATATAGTTGTATTTTAATTTTCCTAAAATACCCTTATTCAATGTAAGTTGTTGTTACTATAAACCTACCCCATTTAATGAGAGTTGATTCTTTTTTTACCATCAATTCAAGTTCTCGTAAAGTTGTACTCTAATTAATGTGAGGGTATTTTAGGAAAATAGCTACCTAAATTGATTGTTCCAACAAAGTTAACTACTTTTTATTAAACTGTGTGAAAAAAGAATCAGAACTATCAAAGTGGGACGGAGGGAGTATTTATAGTAGCATATACTTAAATTGTCCTGAATAATGCTTACATTGATTTTAAATAAATATTTACATTTAATGATTCATTTACACTTCATTTGGATAGAGTTTATTTGGATGATTTATTTGAGATATTTACTGTAGCACTTTGTGTGATGTGATGTATGTGAGATAAAAAGATGATTGGGAAGATAAAAAGGTGATTGGGATTTGTGAAAACAAATTTTGCAAACCAAATTTGGCTTGTCCAAACAAACTCAATGCAGAAGACTGGTGGAACAATAAAGCAACCAAAAGTCAATGCATATTTGTCATTGGCCCGTGTCAATTTTTAAGTTATGCTTCAGCTAATTGAGCAGCCGTTTGTATACATGCTATTGATAGCCTTCCATGACCATGTGCATGTAAAAGGAAATTCATACAAGTAATTTCTTTTTACTCATCGCCATGTATGTTTTTTATTCTTTTTTTTTTTTTGAAGTATGTTTTTTATTCTTGTTGATGCTACACATTGGTGGCTTCCACTACATATGATGTATACCTTATGAATAGCAGCATATTATTTGTACATAATGCCTTTTATTCTCTATAACAAATGTAGAGTTTCAACTTTAAAATGCTATATGCATTTGTAGCACTCAGATGGTGATTAAAATCGAATCCTAAGGCCTTGTTTGTACAACAATTTTTCAAATTGCTACGTTTTCTGTGAATACATTTTTTAATCATTTTTTTATTTCATATATATCAAATTGTTATAGTAGTTTTCTATAAAAAAAAATTCAAAAAAATGCAATCCAAACAAAACCTAAGTTTTGAGTTTGAACAAAATTACGAGCGGAAATTAATTAAGCAGAATGAAGGAAGCAAAGGAGTCAATAATGGCATAATCCTGCCTGTGATGGTAAGCCATGCTTGACTTTGATCCAGCTCACAAGTCAACTCAGGAGTGTCTCTTTGGGGTTTAATTTATCATCAGGCGGGGAAATAATTAAATAAACCGACATCATCCGATGATTCCTGCGGATGCCGCCACGCAAGATGTCGTCGTAGAAATCATCATATACGTACTATTGCAGAGCTTTGGGTTGGGTTAGGAAATTTGTTTGGATTGTGTTTTATTTCCCCAATTTTATCTGCTAACATTATTATTACAATTTTCAATACATTTTTTTATCTTTCCAATTACTTTTTTATCTCACACACATCACATCACAAAAAGTGCTACAGTAAAAAATTCCAAATAAAACACAATCCAAACAAATCAATTGCTTTTTTAAGATTTGCGTTGTAATTCTCGTCCCGTATGTTGCTGCCAATTTCTTGGATCAAATACCTAGTTTGACCCAAACAGCGAAGAAGTGCTAAGTTGGGCCTGTGCCAATCCAATACCATTTAGTCATGATTGTACTCCCGACAATTACCAATATGATTATTTAATTAATTAACTTCACGCGAGTCGACGGCTTGTTTGGATTAGCAATAGAAGTGTTGACTGCTTAGTTAACTACTTATACTAGCTGGTATTTTGGTTTTACAGAAGAAGCCCTCTCCTAATAAGCAGAAAGTAATTATGCAACTATTCTAGCAATAGGAGTGTTTGACTTTGAAACTCAAACAACACGTAAGATTAATCTTTTCTACACTGACAGTATATAAAAGATATCCGGGTGATTTTATATACTGTCTGTCAGTGTGTATAAGATTTACTCTTAAAGTTATCCGGGTGATTTTACTTTTTGTACGGAAAGGAATTGGACGAAGAGAGCCAAAGATTATTATTGCCTTGGTTCGGTGGCAAATCAATAGGTGGTACGAAATAAGCACAGCCTGCTAGTTAGAAGAAGAAGAAACCTAATCTAATCTACGATGTCGATAGGAAGAAATGCAATGCTGCCGTGCTTGGTAGAATTTCATCAAATACAGACAAGACACATCCATTGCTCTGTCCCCAACATTTAGACGCTTTTCACATTTACATTCAATTTTTTCGAGAAATTAACAACTGATCGTTTAACTTTTTTTTTTTACTCATTTTGGCAGCATAATCTAGTAGTAGTTTTTTTCACCACCAACAAAATTCAAGATTTCGGTATCCATCCTTTTTGACATATTTTCGATGCGAATCAGAGTTCTGTCGGATTCACTTTAAAATGCCCATAACGAACGTTCTCGGATTCTTGCTCAGGAATGACTGACCATAAAAAGGGCAGATATCCATGAAAGCTGTCATACTAAGAATACATCTGCCTAGGGTTTTAGATGTGCTAACCACACAGTACCATTCTCGACGTGGAACTGTTCCGAATGCATCTGTCTCATTCTGGATAGCAAATTGAATCATAATAATTTTGGAACAACTTACTTTTTTGTACGAAGTGCTAAAGGATTCTCCCGCACGCTGAAACTAAATAAAGAGCTCTCCATGTCTGGTCGTGTAGTTCAACACTAAAGGCTGCCGCTAATATTTTGATTTTTGAGGCAGGAAATAAGAACCTCTCTGACATCTTCACTCCCGTGTCTGCTCACATTTTTTACCCCAGTACATACCTATGCACATATATCTTCCTGTCAAACAGCGATGTCATCGAAAGTCAACGTGAATTTTTTCATTTCTCCGAATTTTCATCATCATGTCTGAGCATCTTCAAGCACTTCTTCCATGCGTTATTTTTAAATTACCTGTTCATTCAATGCCAAAGTCATAGTATTTTTTTAATCTTTTTTTTTTTTTTTTGCCTTCTCTTTCTCAAGAACCCCTAATTTTCTGTTCTATTGTATTCTTCATTTCATCTTACTTTGCCATTTACATCTTTTATTGACCACCAATTCATTCCTATGTTCCTATCTCACTATTAGTATTTCATTTCTCCGTCTTTGAGAATCTACGTTGAAGTCTATTTTCATGGATAGATTACAAAAGCACATCTACATCCATGAATCCCCGCTCCTTCCTCAAATCAAGACTCAACAAGCCCCAAGTAATCAACCTCCCTTGCCAGTTTCCAGCCATGGGTTCCCCATATTGGCCATTGCTGTACTAGGCATCATGGCTTCTATTTTCTTACTAATCAGCTACTATATCTTTGCCACCAAATGCTGCTTCAGCTGGCAACAACTTGACCCCCTGAGACGCTTTTCTTTCCGGCGAGCACCCCGGAATGAAGGCTTCTTGATGGCCTACTCTCCTTCATTACCGACTCGAGGCCTCGATGAAATGCTTATCCGCGAACTCCCCACTTTCCAGTATTACAGGACCGAAGGAGATGAAAGCAGCAGCCTAAACAAGTGTGTGGTCTGTTTGAACGAGTTTCAAGACCAAGATATGCTGAGACTTCTTCCTAAATGTAGCCATGCCTTCCACCTAGATTGCATTGATATATGGCTTCAGAGCAACGCCAACTGCCCTCTTTGCAGAACAAGCATTTCTGGGACCACCAGAGATCCATTTGATATGATCATTGCACCAAATTCTTCACCCCAAGAGCCTCAGCCTTTGATGAGAAGAATGGTTGGAAGCAGTGAAGACTTTGTTGTGATCCAAGTGAGCGGAGAAGAAGGGACTCGCAGCTTGTTGCAGGGGCACCAAGAGAGAAGTGAATCCTGCAGACAATTGGTGCAATCTAGGAGTCAGTCCCTAAGAAAGTCTGAGCAGAAGTTGACAAAGTTGAAACCAGGGAAGGTTCATCATGCTTCCATAATGGGAGACGAATGCATTGATGTTAGAGAGAAAGATCATCAATTCTCCATCCAGCCTATTAGGAGATCATTCTCCATGGATTCTGCCGTGGACCGTCACGTTTATTTGTCAGTTCAAGAGATCGTAACGCAAAGTAGACACCCCGGTGAGGTTAGAAACAGTGAAGAATCAAGTAGCAGAAGCCAAAGATCAATCTTCTCATTCGGACACGGAAGAGGATCTAAAAGAGCAGTTCTTCCAATAGATCAGTTATAACACGCATCCATTGCATTAAAGATTTCGATTTCTCGTAAAACAAAAACATCTTACTGTTGTTGATTAGTTCGACCCTTATTCATTGCTTATTTCTTGCAGATTGAAATATTAGAACTTTTAGCAGGTTAAGGTATATTAATCGCGCAACACAATAATTAGGTATGATGTTGCACGACGTGAAAAGAGCCGGTCACTGGTGGTTCGTGCTGAAATGTAGGCAACTAGGGCTGGTAGAATCATTGTTAAACCACTATGGCTAGATAAGATTTTATGCTGATGCGACATTCTTCTTCATGAATGGAAATGATTGCGTTCGAACTTTCTTTTTTCTGCTTCTCTCAAGAATGCCCCGCATAATACATTGAGAGAATTATAAGGGGTCGACAGCTCAGTTCACGAAAGAGGCCAGAGGACCCAACTTTTTCCCCAGAGAATGAATGAAAAGGTATGATTGCACATATTGGAGGGGTAATTTTCAGAGATGTACCATAGTTGACCATTTTACTCTTTACCGTAACAGTGTCAGTGAAAACTAAAAGGGCAGCATTGGAATGATATGACGCCAATTCTCTCGTTTCTGTCCAAATTTGCAGCACCAAACACGGCAACACCAATTGATTCCAGAGGATCGACACAAGCAGCTGGTGCCCGGTGGCAGCAGAGTTTGAAGAGTTGCTCGATCCCGGGGAGGAGGGCAAGAAGACTGACGAAGAAAAATTGGGCGAGGGTCAAGATAAAAAAAGAATTCGTCGTCTCTTCTTCACTAAGGGATTGGACAATCTTGAAACCAGGTGTCAGGTTGCCCTGCCTACGAAGGAATAAAGAATTGGCAACTAACCAGATTAGTTCACTTCATATTCAGAGTCAGTATAGGAAATCTCACATTATTTTGAGTTCGAAATTCGTGTTTGACTTTACTCCAACATGACAATCTGCAACAATTCCTGTGGGTTCACATAAATTACTACTCGACATACGTAGAGTACCCAACTACTGCTGACTCAATAACGTGCCCCAAAAAACTTATTACAGAAGTAAAATAAAGCCCAACATAAAAATCCTCGTTATATTCAACCAGAAGATTTCTTCCATACGCACTCTCTCATACGACTTCGTCACCTCTGAAGCTCCCTCAATGTGAACGATTGAAATAACCAAACACATGCTAATTCAAGACTTTGACTTCACAGTTTCATAGATAACTTCAGATCCCATTTTTCTCATTTCTGAGAAAACATTTTAATCAGGGATTCACGTGCAATTCATGTTACTCGGATGCACTCTTTCATGAGCCCGTTTCTAGAACAATTAAGGGTTTATTGGTTAAGCAATCAAACTCGCACTAGAACATCTTCTGTAAGCGACCTGATATCGGCCTAATCTTATATGCCTTGCCCACACGATCAAGCTTCGATATGTTGTCTGACTCAACTCAAATGAACTCATTGAGGCCAAGCAAGGCAAAGAGGCCGAATCATTGGGTTTAGTTCCTAGGAACAAAATCCATCTAGTCGGTGTCAACAGCAGTTTCGCAGATATTTCATTCTTATAAAGTCAATCCAGTCAAATAAAGAAATGAAACACAAGTATGTAAACCTTCAGACTTCAGAAGAACTGCTGAATTTCTAGCTTCTGTTAATCTCTAGGCATCTCTAAGGAACTAGATTATTGTTATCGGCAGCCAAATAATGAAATGAAACACAAATATGTAACAGGAAAAAAACTCGTACAGAAGCTGTTCACTCAAAGCTTAATTCTGCAAGATTTAACAGCTCATAATGCACTCGACGGTGCTTGATTAACTGAAAGACCAGTTTTTGAGTTTGCACCAGAAACAGCATTTATCGTGTGAGGCAAAGGTAATGCCTTCATCAGAGACTCATTCGAGGATGCACCAAGTGCTCTCTTCTTCAATTGTTCCAGGAGTCGCTGAGCTTCTTTGACTTCATCCTCCGCGCTTGGACCATGGCCTTCCCAAGCTTCAATTACTTTCTCCTGGAAGTTAATTGCTAGCTGGTAGCTGCAAAATCCGAGAACCAATTTTAACTAACTATTCAACCACTAGTAAAAAGAAAATCACAAGAGAGATCGAGCCACTGTACAATGAATATTGCTAAGCAATACATAACTTTGACGAACTCTCACCATCCGGTTTATCCCTCTTCACAAAATTTGTGTTGTCCGCTATAAGTTTTCATAGAGGCGTCCCACATAAATCAGGTTAAGTATTTAGCTCACTAAGGAAATCTTTTAAGAAAATCAGCTTAAACATTTCACCAACTTTTTAGGACTATAGTCAAATCAAGATTCAAACATCTGAAGCCATACTACACATCATTACAACTATATTTCTTGCTTTTAGCTCTTCCATCTCTTTCCCGGAAGATTGATGAACGGAGACCACGAACATCAAACTATTGAAAACTGGAGCATAAATTGAACTCTAAGAAATTGTGAACATCAGCAAGGAGTAAATAACTGACAAGCAATATTAGAAGCACAAACAACAGTTCCGAAATCAAGCATACCAAATGGGTCCCAATCCTCTGTTCAGCAACTTTGATACAACAAAATTTTCTCAAAGGAGAACCAAATAATTCCTAAGCACCATACAAAGTAAAAATACTAACAGGTCATGCATTTAAGATCAGAATGTTCTGAGAGACATTATATACAAAATCACCAATAAAGATGTTTCCATTACCTTCCCATGGCAGCATATGCCTTTGAAAGGTTTTGACATGCCTCGATTGAGTCTGCATGATGTGGACCCAGGGAAACATCCATGATATCCTTTGCAAAAGCAAAAACCTGTGCAGCAGACTGAGGTCTATCTAACTCCAAATATGCTGCACCCAGATTATTGTACACGTAGCCAACCCCGTAATGCTTGGATCCAAAGCTCTCTTTTAGTCTCTCAGCTGCATCCTCCAAATAAGGAAGCGCATGCTCAACCTTCCCAGTCAGGAGGAGTAACCAGCCAATTCTTGCAGAGACACTTCCTACTGAATGTTGCTCTTCCGCAATCTTTTCAAGCATTGCATGCGCTCTCTTTAACAAGGATATTGCAGTTTCAAACTCATTCATAGTCTCATACTGCATTGATATTTCCATAAATGCCTCAGCAACTGCTATAGGCGACGTTGCTTCTTTCTTGTCAAGAATTCCACTAGCAATCACAAGGCACCTCTTAGAGTCTGCAAAGTTTTCCTGATTACACAAAGCCTTGGCCATGGAAACAAAGATCATAGCTCGATCCTCACTATCCTTAGGAGTTTGCTGTACAATGCCCTTCAAAGTATTAATGGCCTCATCGTACCTTCCTAAGGCAATTTGCATATTGGCAGCATCAATTTCAGCTCGGAGCAATTCAGAATTGCAACCCCAACTTTTCAAGACCCTTTGAGACAATTGATTTTGCTCCAGTGCCTTTTCATGCTCTTCAAGTCCAGTATAAATAACTCCAAGAAGCCTCCTATCATGAGCAACTTCCACCGAGTTATGTCCCAATTGCGTTTTATGGATATCCAAGGCCTTCAAACAAAATGGTAAGGCCTCCCTGAAACTCAAAACTGCGACGTAGGCCTCTGCTACCTCCCTGTTAGCCTTCCCAAGTTCCCTGCAGTCTTCATCTAACATCATCTCTTTTAGCTCCAATGCCTTCCTAAGATTACCAATAGCCTCCTCTCTCCTCCCGATGGCAGTCTTAGTATTAAACAATTCAAATTGAACAGCATGAAGAATAGGCCTAACATCATCAGCACTACAAGAACGTTGTTCCTCCAGCCGGAGCAATATTCTATTAGACCTATTAAGATACCCCAAACTATCATTAAACCGTCGTAGACTATAGCATACAGAACCCAGTAATTGCAAAGTCATAGCAAGAGGCAAAGAGGGTTTATCCTCTTTATCAAGAACTTTCAAAGCCCTAGCAGCAAAAGATAAAGCCTTTTCAAGGTCCTCACCTTCTTGGTCAAGTTTGAGGCCTAATTTCAAGCAAGCTAATCCAAGCTCAATTTCATCAAAGCTGTCCTCCATGTCCTTGAATGCCTTGAGCATATCATCAGTGGTCTCTGCCGACTCGAACGCCTCTTCAAGTTGGGATCTTTCTTTTATTTTTCTGTGTCTTGAAGACATATGAGGGGCCATAGGGGTTTGGTCAGAAAGGGTGGTGAAACCTTGAGATTTAGTATTGGATAAGAGTAAAGCATCGGCCTTGGAGAAGTTCTTGAGATGGGATTTTGATGGGTGGTTTTGGGTGCATGGCGTAGGGTTGGGGAGGGACGATATGTGGGAGATGGAATCAACTGAAGGAAATGAGAAAGAAATTTTGGAGTGATGCTGGAGCTTTCCGAGAATGGATGAAACCCTTCTCATAGCGGATTTGATAAGCCTTTTTCAGGGGTGAGTGTGTTGTAATTTGAAGCCCTTGATGTTAAACCCTTGAAAAACCCTCGACAGGGCAGCCAGCTTTCTGGATTCTGGGAAAGTGTTTGTATAGTTGCTATTAGGCTGCTGCCATTACTCTTTTTTTTTTCTTTCTTACTTTTGTTATGAACGTAATTGCAAGATCATCCTTCTAATGCCTCAAAATTATGATCAACAACATCATGTTTTCCTCTATCAAAAGCTATCACCATATTTATTGATTATTGAGTGAGCGATCAATTTTAAGTTTTTCTTTTTCTCTCTTAAAAGGGGAAAGAAAGAAGAAAGAAACTTATTTTCATACATTCATTCATTCATTGACACTGACTTTCTTTTCTGGGTAAATTGGTGAAAAGAGAGACACTTTTATTAATCTATCTACAATATTATTTTACGATAAATGACTAGATTATTTGATAAAAATTCGAATCTATAGTAAAAATTAGGAAACATATGTATGAAATTCGTAAATCCAAACTCATAACTCGTGATTCTTTTTTCAATAACTCCTAAAAAGAATGAAGTAGTAAAATTTGATTAGTTTAAATTGTCAATGAAATAGTTATGTTCAAAAAAAACCAAACATAAATTTTAAATGAAATTCATACTTGAGAATTTTTTATCATTAAAAGAATTTTTCAATGAAATAATCTTAATATACACCATTTCACTCTGTATTGGTTTTAATATTTGTAATACAAAGTATTAATACATGGAATGTATTGATTTAGAGTAGAATAGTTTGGATTTAGCTCCTCTCAAATTGCATTATCATTAGCATTTTCTCATTGTCTTTCCCTGTTCCTTCTATTCTTTCAAGGAAGCAAATTGGCAAATCCTAATACTAAAATAGGAATATTTGTTGGAAAAAAAAGGGGGGGAACAGAAATAATGACGAGATGGACCATGACTGAGCATGCCAAGTTATACCTGTTCCATTTTGACTTTACTCTTTAATACTGTACTAATTGTAAGGGCAGTAATGCAAAAACAACGAAAAGGATAGAACGTTTGCAGCGGGGTCAGTAACAGCGCCATAGCCCACAATAATCTAACGCCGTTACTCCTTCCCCGGGAGAAATTTGGCGCCAAGCCTTACCTTTTTCGCGCCAAAAGCCCTAGAATACCTCCTCGGCTGTGCTCCCCTCCCAGCATCCATCGCTATTCCCCTTTCATCTCGCACTCGCTTTGCTCAACCACACTGCCTCATCAATGGAATCCACTGAACCTTCGCCATTGGATTTGTTCAAGTCCAAGAAAATTTTGCACTCTTCTACTCCAACGCCATCTG